CCTTTAAGGGATGCTGGGTTTTCCCATGGACTGACTCAGACTGGAAACTCTCAGTTTTTCTCGGCGCAGCAATCTAGGTCAGGCTTGCTGACAGTTGCTGATGCTTCTCGCCGCGCTCGGCAGCCACAGCGGCAGGCGGAGGGGCCCGGCACCGCATGTCCTGAGCCCTGGCAAGGTAAGGACCCCCCCTCTGCTCGGCTTCCAGCCCCCGACCACCCGGATTTAAACCCCCGAACTACCCCAGCTCGTGTTTCTTGGCTTATGCGCGCTAGCCACCCCCGACACACATTGCCGGTAAAGATTTCGCATGGTTTGGGCTTGCACAAGCCGGACAGCTTTTTCCTTCTGCATTTACTTGGCGTTTCTTTAGCCCTAACGGACTTTTTAAGAGAGGTGAGATCAAAGCCCAGCGTCTCTCGACAAGGGGAACAGCCTCGTTCCATCTGGCTTTGGAGTCTGCAAACGCCTGGAGTTTACAAACGCCCGTAAATTGGAATCAAAACGCAAACGTGAAGCGGTCCCTGGAGGAGGCAAAGCCTGCGGTCTTGTCTTAGAGCTGGCACTCAGGCAGATTTATTATATTTTCAGCTCTTTTCATTGACTACAGGGATTTTACTTTTTTTTTTTTTTTTCCATTTATTCTAACTTGCCGAAAGTTTGCAAGCCATCGGGAGGCCTTCGGGTTCTCTTAGTAGGTCAGGTAATAGGAAAGCACTTGAAATTTGACTCACTTGTTATGAACAGCCCTTAAAGCAAACGAGGTCACTCACAGAGCAGGAGAAATACAAAAAAGCATGAGCTGTAGCCTAGTAGCCTGGTTTGGGTGGAACAACATCATTTTGAAACTTTCATAGTGGATTCTGGCTCAGAGCATCCCTCGAGGGAAAACCTGCCATTTCTAACGTCGGATTTTTTTTTTTTATATATACAGTTATTTTAATTATTGCTGGCTTAAAAAGAAAACTACGGAGGTGCAGGGCTTTGCTCGGCTTCCAGCACCGTGCACCCACCGCAGCATCGCCTGCAGCATTCGGGGGGGCTGTGCAAGCTGCTCCCAGGTGGGTGTTTCTCTTGGAAAAGTGCTATCCCCCCTCCCAGGAGCTGCATTTCCTTGCACTCTGGCTCCTGCAAAGCTCCCCCAGCCCTGCATCCCGTATTTGTACCCCGTATCCCGAGCCCCACAGGGCTGGTGAGGCTGGGCTTCCCCTCTGGAGGGGGGGTGGTTTGGGGTGGGGGGTGTGTGTGAATCCAAAGAGGCTGAGGAGGAAGGTGACGTGAGCAGGGAAAAATTCAGACTGTGGGTTGCAGACACAAGCGTGGCTCCTTGGAGAGAGAGGGGAAGCCTTGCCTGGGATTTTAGGACTGTCTGAGGGGGGAAGAGCCATTGCTTGGCTTGGGCAGGACCTGCCACAGCGAGGGCATGGGAAAGATGTCACAGAAACAGGGAATTTTCTGTCCCATGAAACTGCGTGTCATCGGGTCCGAGCAGCTCCAGGGATGGAGACTGCAGGGCAACCCCTCCGGGCAGCCGGCCCCATGCGTGGTCACCCTTAAAGTGCTTTTTCTTACCTTTAACTGGAATTTCCTGATTTTCAATGTGAGTCCACGGCCTCTTCTCCCGTCGCCACTGAGAGGAGTCTCTCTTGTGCCGGGGGGAGCCCAGCCCTGAACCCAGCACTCCAGATGTGCCTCCCCAGGGCTGAGCAGAGGGGCAGGATGAAAACAAGCAGCATCCCCCTCACCCACCACACCAGCCTTCTTCGAGGAAGGCTCTCGGGCTGCTCAGGCACAATTTCCCTTTTGTAAAACCATGTTGCCCGCTCCCATCGGCTCCTGGTCCTCCTGGCGTGTCGGGAGCTGCTTTCCAGGTGGATTTTCTCTCCATCTCCTGCCCCGGGGGTGGAGGTGAGGCTGTCCTGCCTGCACTTCCCTGCATCCTCCCTGCCCAGAGTGACCCAAAACTGCATGAATTTATGCATCCATGTAAGGATCGGAGAAATTTCACAGATATGAAAACTAAGAGAAACGGTCACCAGAGGTGGAAGCTCAGGGCAAGTGGCTCACGGGGGCTGGACACTGGGCTGTGCCAACAGGGCGCCTGTTACCAGCAACGCCGAGTCCTGTGTGCCCGTGGGCTCGTCCCCTGTGCTCCCGCTGCCGGCACGACCCAACCTGACCCCAAATCCCCAACAAACCCCTCGCCCTGTGTCCCCACTGCCACCTCCGGGGCAGGTCCTGTGCACCCCGGGGCGAGGGCAGACCCGGCTGTGCTGGGCCGTGGTGCAAGCTGCTGGGACAACTCACACTTTTTCTCCCCCCAGACTATGCCACGGGCGGGCACCAGGCCATGGCAGGGTCCGGCGAGGCTTTGGCACTGCACGTCCTGCTCTGCTGCCTGTGCGGAGGTAAGCGGCGGCGCGCCATGGCCACCGCGGCATCACCCACGCTGGCCACCCTGGCCCAGCTGGGGAATTGGAGCAAGAGTAGGAAAACGATAGAGCTGCAGCTATGGATTGGGGGGGGGG